ATCTTTTTAGTTTATGGATGATGATGTCTAAATTTCGACATTTAAAAATTAAGTGTTATTTAATTTGGGTGGCTGTGTTATATTTATATTATAGATTTGTGGTTAGACATTTTGTTAACTAACATAAAATGTTGTTTTATATTTTAATTTGAATTTTTACTATATTTTGGTGACATTGATACTTAATTAGTTTGAGAGTTTTACAAATTACCAGTCACTTTGCTAGCACACATGTATTTTTGTTTTACAAAAAAGAATTGAGAACTCAGATCGAATCGGCCCGTTTCAAACAGAGCGAGTAAGGTCCGATTCTTATTTTCAAATTTGGTATACTCGGACGGAATCTATCCGTTAAGTGGAACTAGCAGTTCTTAAAAATTTATCAATTACAAGGATCGACCCGGACCATGTCCACCCATATGTTATTTTTCAAATAGAATTTGAGAGCTTGAACCACATGTGAATGATGTGATTAAAAAACCATTGAAGCTAGTTTTGGGGGCTGAATGATTATCATTTAAGACAGACCTCTCAGATCTGCTTCATTGATGATGCGAACTCAAAACTTTCTATTAGGGTAGAAAGTTAAGTGTCGACTCTGATCTATTCGGACCACTCTCACTTATCAATCATGTGTGTATTTGTTATCCAAAATTTGTATAAATTTGCGTGCATTAATTAAATAAATAGAACTAAATAGAAATACTTGAATGAAATCGTGCCTAACGAATCGCTGTCTTCTTAAGACGAATTTGCCCACAACACAAGTAGCAATCACCTCTCATGATAGAACGGTTTCTACATTCCCGAAGGACACCGGCGAAGTCAAAGATGTAGCGTTTTAATGGAGGATCAAAGAAAGATGGTGGAGATGGTAGGAGGATTTTTGGATTGATTGAAAATGCAGGCAATCATGGGTATATATAGAGCTCAAGCCAGGAGACTCTACACCCAAAAGACACTTTTTTTTTGTTTTTTTTAATACTCCAGGGGGTCTGGGGGAGCTTGGAGTAATCAGGACTGTAACTCACTCCATTAAGTTTCGAACCCTTATGTGCCTAGCGGGTTTCGAACTCGAGACCTGCCACTATGCACGGTAACCTCACAACCAGTTGGGCTGGAATGCTTGGTTACACCCAAAAGACACCCTTATAAAGAAAGGTTGTGATCCTTCTTCTAAAAACAAAGGATGTGTCTATTGCCAAACATTATCCAAAATTGAGAGCGATTAACAGAATTATCTTTAAACCATATACTCGGGCGGACAGTTTAAGACCCTAACCCGACCCGTCCACCCGAATGGCGGCGACGTTGTTTGCGTGTGAGATATAATTTCACACTTATCTTTCGAGAAACAATTTCTCATTCATTTCAAAATGATTTTTTACAAATAATATTAATGACCATAAAATTAATTTGTAAACCATTTTTCGAACAGTATTTATGTGGGGATGGGCAAGGTGTAGCAATCCCCATAGCCCAGCAGCCCCAGCCCCATTTTTGGGAAGATAACATTTTTCATTAATCCCACCTAGGGATGGACCCAATCCGAAACCGGGTCTGCTATTGTTGGGATCGAACCGGGTCTGGAAAATTCTATTTTTGCCTGGGACCGCCCATAGTCCGTCCAAGCATGTTACGCGGTCCCGGTTCACCCAGTTGGGGACCGGGCGGTCTCGATCCCGATTTCAGTCCCGTTCCGGCTATTTTTTGGCTTGGAAACGGGGGAAACAAAAAAGATAGACGGGGACCGGATTGCCCGGGTACTCGGAACCAGCCACGACCCAAATTTAACCGGGTCAGACCCAAGATTCTCCTACCAATAATCGGGATCGGGACTGGGTCCACCCCTAATCCCACCCCTCACTAAGCCTGGCCCCATTCACCACCCGCAGGCCCCCATCTAGGTTTGGGCCTCCCTTTGGCATAGTGTACTAGTACTGGACCACAACCAGCCCACGACCACCAGGCAGGCTACAGTTGTCCTCATCAATGCCGTTTCTCTCTTTAATTTAACCTCCCAACATGTGCCCAAAAGTAATCGTAATCATGTTTCACCATGTTCGGGGATTATTAAATATTGAAGTTAAGGATTCAAGCTCAAGCAACATTACCAGCAGAGTACCCCCCCCCCCCCCCCCCCCCCCCTAAAGTATTTGGTGATAAAGCAACGAAGCCCTTAGAGGGAATGTTTCTGCCCTTGCGTATTATTTCATGAATGGATCAATTTATACAACAATTGTTTCCTAATATATTTCCTAGAATATCGAATAACTATGCTACGTATAATTAGAAGATACAATTGTGATATGCACAAAATCAAACTGATTTATTTACAAATATATTAGCCCAATACCCCCCCTCAAGTTGGAGCATGAAGATCCGTAATGCCCAACTTGGCAAGTAAAGAATGAAATTGACGTCGGCCAAGTGCCTTAGTCAGAATATCAGCCAATTGTGAAGAGGTATGAACATAGACAGGTGCAATGGTATGCCGAAGGATTTCATCACGAACAAAGTGGCAATCGATCTCAATGTGTTTCGTGCGTTCGTGAAACACGGGATTATTGGCAATGTGTAACGCGGCTTGACTATCACAGTGTAAAGACACAGGAGAGGAATGATGGACCCCCAAACTAGTTAATAAGCCTTTTAACCAAAGAATTTCACACGTAGCAGATGCCATAGAACGATATTCAGCCTCAGCGGAAGAACGTGAAACTGTAGCTTGTTTCTTAGTCTTCCAGGAGATAGGTGAACCACCAAGGAAAACAACATATGCTGTAAGAGACCTTCTACTAAGTGGGCAGCTTGCCCAATCAGCATCACAATAGGCAGTCAAAGAAAGATCAGAAACTGCACGCAAAAGAATACCCTGACCTGGACTCGATTTTAAATACCGCACAACACGTAAAGCGGCGTCCCACTGGGAGTGTGTGGGATTTTTCATGAACTGAGATAAGATGTGAACAGAGTAACACAGTTCAGGGCGAGTTATTGTGAGATAGATAAGCCTACCCACTAGGCGACGATACTTTAAGGGATCATCGAGTGGAGAATCACGAGCAAGAGAAAGAGAATGATTTTCTTCCATAGGGATGCTAGCAGGTCTAGCACCAAGAAGACCCGTCTCGGTGAGAATATCAAGAGCATACTTTCGTTGACAAAGGAAAATACCACTAGAATTGCGTGCAACTTCCAATCCTAGGAAATATTTAAGCTTGCCCAAGTCCTTCATACGAAAGCAAGTGCTAAGATAGGCCTTGAAGGATGCAATGGAAGCACTATCATTACCAGCAATAACGAGATCATCAACATAAACCAGAATACTCAGGGAGATGGATCCTTTGTGGTAAACAAATAAAGAGTGATCAGAAGCACTATTACGAAACCCATACAAACGTAGTGCATGAGCTAATTTAGAATACCAACACCGTGGAGCTTGTCGTAAACCATACAACGATTTACGAAGACGACAAACCTTGCCTGGAGCCCCAATATGAAAACCCGGAGGAAATTTCATATAAACTTCTTCATGGAGATCACCGTGAAGAAATGCATTATGAACATCCATTTGATGTAATTCCCAATTTTTAGAGGCAGCAACAGCGAGAAAAGTACGTACCGTCACCATCTTAACCGTGGGAGCAAAAGTTTCTACAAAATCAATGCCTTCAACTTGATGATTACCAAATACGACCAGCCGAGCTTTGTATCGCTCAATAGAACCATCAGACTTATATTTAATACGAAAAACCCACATACATCCAATAGCGGTCTTACCAGGAGGTAAATCCTCAATAGTCCAGGTATCATTGGCTTCTAAAGCACATACTTCGTCTTTCATAGCTTGTCGCCAGCGTATGTCACGCATAGCCTCTTTGAAGGAGCGGGGCTCCACTCCAGTGGTTATAGCTGCAAGAAACTGTCGATGGCCAAGAGAAAAAGTATCACAATTTACAAAATGCGCTATTGGATAAGGAGTACCTGAGGACCGAGTGGGTGAGGGTGTAGCAGCGAGGGGGGGAACCCGAGTAGCAAAAGTGACAAAATCCTTGTGGCGGACATTGGGAAGCTTTTGCCGTTTACCTCTTCCCAAAGCATCAGGATGCGGCTGCACAACGACCTCACTGGCAGACTCATGACCAGAAGAGTGCTCCATGTTAGGTTGTTGCCCCTGATGGTGTAATTGTGTGTCTGGAGAATGTTCAGAAGAGGAAGTCGTATTGGAAGACAAAGTATTATTCTCTATGGCAGAAGTATTTTCAGATTGTGAGGCAGCAAGTGGACTATCAGGAAAAAATTCATCCGCATGTCCTAATGGTTCCACATGCGACGTGCTGGACAGAACATTTTCTGAAGCAAACGGAAATATATCCTCATAAAAAATGACATCCCGAGAGTGAAAAAATTGACCATTATCAAGGTCAAATAAATTCCATCCTTTCTTACCGAAGGGATAACCAATAAACGCACAACGACGACTTCTACTAGCAAACTTGTCAAGAGGAGATAATTCCTTAGCATAACATAAACAACCGAATACACGAAGCAAACTGAAATCAGGTGATCGGTGAAACAATAACTCATAGGGAGTTTTGCCTTGCAAAATTCGAGAGGGGGTGCGATTAATTAAATAAGCAGCACTGAGTACACATTCGCCCCAAAACTCAATAGGTAAGCTAGCCTGAAAACGCAAAGCACGTGCCACATTTAAAATATGGCGGTGTTTGCGTTCAACTCGAGCATTTTGTTGTGGAGTCCTAACCATGGATGTTTGATGAATTATTCCTTCAGCACGAAAATAATTGCTCAAGGCCATGAATTCTTTTCCGTTATCACTTCGGAAAATTTTCACCCTTTTATCAAATTGTCTTTCAATTAGTGAGAAAAAATTCCTTAACAGACAGGATACCTCACCCTTGGTTTTCATCAAGTAGACCCAAACACTTCGTGAATAATCATCAACAATGGTAAGAAAATAACGTGAATCACAAGAACGATTTGCACTGTAAGGTCCCCAAATATCACAATGAATCAAATCAAAAACATCATCGGCTCTACTAGTACTTAATGAAAAATTAGAACGAGTTTGTTTAGCACGATGACAAATATCACATGGTGCAGAATGTTGATCATGTTGTAACTGATCACTAATTTGAGGCAATAGATCCATTACTTGCGGTGAGGGATGTCCAAGCCGGGCATGCCACAAACTCCTGGAATCAAGAGACGCTGCTTTATTGATACGAACTGGTTCCCCCATTGCCAAGTAAAAGAGCCCCCCTAACTGCTCACCCACACCAATCTTGGTCATCGAGGCTCGGTCCTGTATGACACAATATGCATTAGTAAACTGAATACTTAGGTGATTTTCTTTGAGCAAGGTAGAAACTGATAGCAGATTACACGTAAATTCTGGCACAAACAACACATTTTGCAGTGTTAATTTGGCATTTACCGTCACACTGCCAAGTTTAGTAGCTTTAATAGATGAACCGTTAGGTAGACCAATATCAGTAGGAATTATATCAACCAAAAAATTGAACAACATAGCATTACCGCACACATGGTGCGAAGCACCTGTGTCAATAATCCAAAGGGTGTCTGGCTTACCGCTCAAACGTATGTCACTGAGATCAGTACCAATGTCTCCTGCGTGTGCCACATTGGCTTTGGGTTGTTGTCCAGTGGTTATATTTGTGGAGCCTCCTGCTGTTACAGACCCAGTCATAGAAGAATTGGTTCTACCTTTGTTGCGACGTCTCTCCAGCCAACCTTCGGGATATCCGTGCTTGACGAAACAACGTTCCTCAGTGTGTCCTGTTTTCAAACAAAAATTACAGAAGTATGGCGAGTTATTGGATGAACGAGCAGCCCCCCCCTGAACCTCGAGAATTGCCTCCCTTGACGGCGAAGCTCATGGGGTTTACTCCTTCGGCTTGACCCCCGGCAGAACTTCCAGTAATGGTCCTCACCTCTTCTTCTTGAGTTAGACGGGAATAAACAATATTGAGAGATGGAAGTGGGTCGATACCCAAGAGGCTGGATCGGACACTAGCGTAATACGGCTCAAGACCCATCAATAAATCCCGTACTTGATCAGCATCACGCCGTTGACGAAGTTTTGTGGATAAATCACATTTGCAGCCCCTGCAACTACAGACAGGAAGAACGTCGAAGTCATTCAGGTCGTCCCATAACTTCTTCAGCCGTCCATAATAACTCATTATGGTTTCCCCAGGCTTTTGCTTACAATCGGACAATTCCGATTTTATTTGATAAATTTTAACGCTATTGCCGACAGAAAAACGCTCCTTGATATCCTCCCACAATTCTCGTGCAACATCCCGATATGAGATAGATGTTCGTAAAGATGGATCAATGGTATTGAACATCCAAGCGACAATCATTGAATTGTTCGTCCACCAATCATCGATTTCAGTGGAGGCGTCATCCGGTTGTTTCAGTGTGCCGTCGATAAATACTAGCTTGCGTTTAGCACGTAATGAAACGCGGAAACCTCTGGCCCATTCTTCATAGTTATATCCTTTTAGCACCACATGGGTGATTACCGTTCCAGGATTATCACTGGAACTGAGCGCATAAAACAACGAGTTTGGTGATGAACCACCTGTCATTAGAAAGAAGCTGATCGGCGGCGAATCAGCCGGCCTGCTCTGATACCATAAAGTATTTGGTGATAAAGCAACGAAGCCCTTAGAGGGAATGTTTCTGCCCTTGCGTATTATTTCATGAATGGATCAATTTATACAACAATTGTTTCCTAATATATTTCCTAGAATATCGAATAACTATGCTACGTATAATTAGAAGATACAATTGTGATATGCACAAAATCAAACTGATTTATTTACAAATATATTAGCCCAATACCCCCCCCAAAAAAAAAAAAAAAAAAAAGGAAAGCGAAATATCCATATAATGAAGTTCTCAACAGCAGTACAGCACACAAAGTTAGTTCGAAAAAGGAAAAAGCTGGAGTATAATTACATCAGCTGTCATCCACCTAACAAGAACAAATACAAAGAACATATTCCCTCCCCCAATATCAATTTTTTAAAAGAAAAACTGCTACTACTACATGATGAACAAGATTTGCAAACAACATTTTTTAATAGCAAGAGCAAACCCGCGTCAAGAAAATTTGCTGTTGATGTACCGTTTTCCTTATTCGGTTCCAGTGACATGTTCCTGAGTAGTATGTCCTGCCATGCCTGAATGGTGAATTTGCTCAATCCTCCTAGTGACCTCGGGCATTGATGGCCGGATGTCGGGGTACTGTGCCACACAATCAATGGCAAGTTGGAGCAGTTGCACCATTTCATCCTCGACATTCTGGTGCCTAAGGAGTTCAAGATCAAAGACTTCAGAGGTCCACTCCTCTCGGACCACGGATTGGACCCACCTCGGCAGGTCAACCCCGTCCTCATTCAGGATTGCATGAGTGGGTGCCTTTCCAGTAAGGAGCTCCAGGAGCAGTACCCCGAAACTGTAGACATCAGCCTTCTGTGAGACTCTTCGGGGTTCCGTTACCTCTGGTGCTCGATACCCAATGACTCGAGCAGTGGACGATGATTGTCCAGCCATTGTTGCCAGCCCGAAATCTGCAACTCTGGATTCATAGGATTCGGTTAGGAGAATATTGGATGATTTGATATTCCCATGAGAGACATCAGGGCCTTGAGAATGCAAGTATTCTATGCCACGGGCAGCTCCAAGGGCAATGCTGCACCTCATTTCCCAATTCAATGGCGTCCTGCTAGCTCCCCTGTTCCCTATGGAAGATTAAATACATTGGCAATCAATAAAAGTAATGGGATGCAAACAATTAAAACTTGACTCTATCAAGATTATTGTAAGAATTTCTTATGAATAATGTTATATCATATGGACGAAAATTCTCATACATTGGGGAAAGATGTTCGTATTATTTCAGCAACTGAGTTTCGTTTTGTTCTTAATAAGGATGTTTTACTTGGATTGAATTTATCGATGTAGATGTGTGGTAGATGTTTATTTTACAATTGTAGAGGTATGGTTTGTTTAAGTCAAGTCTGGGACCGAAAGAAGACCAAGTAAAAACACCCTTAGGGGATTGAAGAGTATTAATGGGATTGAATCAATCTTTAAAGACAAGTTGACCCGAATTGACCAATATATACTTTTACACAGCAGTGGCAGCACTTAGGAGCCAAAACTGGATTACACTCAGATTGAAGTATTGGCTAGATGTGAAATTGAATCCTCTTTCTCATGTCTTACATTTAGTATGAAGAGGTTAGGTCAAATTCAAGGAAAAAATTGACCACATTTGACTAATAAATAGATCTAAACATTTATGAGCCAAAATAGAACTATACTGAGATTGGGTATATTATTAATTAACTACTTAATGTCTCAATTCTCTTTATTACGCATTGAAAACGATAAAAGGGGCAAGGTTGACACCAAAACTTGTCCTAATAAAAACAACCTCTCCTACCATAAATAGGATTACGAGAAAACCTCCGCTATTATTAGACATAAAGGTTGAGTCTAAATCAACCACAGAAAAAGCAAGTTTTGGTCATATCATCTGCGATTGGACATGATATTAACTACTTAACTGTAGGCTATAGAAATATGGAGTATTTGGTAATAACAGTTGAGTAAGAAATCTCAACCTTAATAGAAGAATTAATCTATTATGGGACACCAAAATAGATTAAAGAAACATTACCGTAATGTGATAATAGAAGAATTAGGTCTTTCATCACTTACATTAAAGCTTTTCCACAAACGGCAATAAGTATTAATGTCTACAAATCCAAGTTTTAAAACAGCAATTCTTTCATTTGAATTTGAAAAAGCTCAAAAAAGTAAATCAATCCATGTACAGAAGAGAAGGAAAGAGTTACAGTTACCATGTAGAAATGCAGACAAACTTCCCATTGCCAAATAGTCATGGACAAGAAGCTTTTCCTCTTTGCTATAGTAATAAGCCCTGAGAGGCACCAAATTCTCATGGATCATAGCACCAATGCTCTGGATTTTTTCTCTGAATTCCTTCTCAGAAGTGGCAACATCTTTCAATCTCTTCACTGCCACTACCGCCCCTATCTCCAAAACTGCCTTGTAAGTTGTTCCGAATGTCCCCTTACCTAGAACCTCCGCAGAAGCTCTCAATAGATCTTCCAAATCAAACACCTTCATATTACTTTTCCCAAAGAACAAAAGCTTCTTAGCAACATCTCCACCTCCGCCGCTGCTCTCTTCTTCCTTCCCATTCACAGGCAATGGCTCTACATCATCCACAGAAAATCTGTTATGTGAATCTCCATTTTCACTCTGAATCATTGGCTTCTCTCCAGAAACGTCCTGTTCCTGCTGAGGATGCTTAAATGTAGGAACGTCCATAGAACGCGATTTGTACTTGCCGCCTCTCTTCCTACATAACATAAACAATGCAAACAGGAATAGAACAAATCCGACAACAGATCCTATCACAATCCCTGCAATGGCTCCTCCTGAGAGCCTGTGTTTAGATTTACCGACTTCTATGCCGCCTGTAGCAATGGCTGGTGGAACTGTCTGCCCTGGACATAGATGCAGGAGAGGACTCCCACAGAGTGAATTTCCAGTAAAAGCCTCCGCTGGCATCCCTCGGAGGCTCTTAGGTACCGTCCCATTTAAGTTGTTGAAGGAGACATTAAACTGCTCGAGATTCTGGAGGTTTAGGTCCGGAATGGACCCGGAAAACTGGTTGTTCTCGAGATAGAGGGTGCGCAAACGGGTCAAGTTACTGAATCCGGAAGGGATTTCGCCGGAGAAGTTATTGCTAGCAAGGTTTAGCCTGACCAGAGCTTGAAAGCCAAAAATGTAAGCCGGCACAGGTCCAGAGAATTGGTTCCCCTGGAGGTAGAGGTTCCGGAGCTCCGTACATTGGTCGAGGTCTGAAGGGAGAGGGCCGGAGAGGCGGTTGAGGCGGAGACTGAGCGTACGGAGGCGCGTAAGCTTGGAGAGAGTGTTCTCGGGAATCTGACCGGAGAGGGAGGAAGCCGGTAGCCGGAGGAAGGTGACGCGCTCGTTCTCGCATTTAACTCCGAACCAGTTGCAGGGGTCGGAGCTGGTGGTGTTCCAGAGAGCTGAAGGACGGCCGCCGACGGCGGAGCGGAAGGAGAGCAGCGCGGCCAGGTCAGTGTTCAGATCTGAGGAGGCGGTGGGTGAGAGGAGAGAGCAGAAGAACAACACCAGCATTGGCAGCTTCATGTCAGCTTGAATCCACATTGTTGTTTCTGCAAACAAAAATTGAAATGGAAGCTTGAACCTTAGTGGTTCATAGCAGATCAAAGTTCTGACTGAGAATTTAGGAAAGCTCCTGAGATATCTTAGTTGGAGTTTTGCAAGAGGTTTTGGAAGTGACTGAGTTGAGTGACAGTCTTATTATTACTCTAAAAAAGTAATGAAAAATTGTTATTACAAGGATAGATGGATCTCATTCAATTCAATTTTCAACCATTTCTATATCTTTCTAACATATGTGGGGTATGTCACCGTCAGCTGTAATACTACGTATTTATTAAAGTCTCAATATATAATGTTGGGAAAACTATTAAATAGGTTTTCGAACTTTCATAAAAAAGTCAATTAAGTCCTTCTATAGGAGACTCTGTCCGGTCGTTGCGATTTGGGACGGTTCCCGGTGAAATTTTTTGATGAAATTTTTTAGCATCTTATTCATCAAGTCTAGTTTACTCATACCAAATTTCAGCTACAAATT